AGGAGACAGGTGGATCCACAGAACTTACAGGCCAGTCAGCCCAGCTGAATCACTGAGCTCTAGGCTCAGTGGAGAAGATGCCTAATAATCACCCCCCACCTCCATATGCACATGCACATGTGCGCACACACACAGACATACACAGACACACACACATACACACAGACACACACACACACAAACACAGACATACACACAGACACACAGTCACACATATACACAGACACACAGACATACACACAGACACACACACACACAAACATACATACAGACATACAGTCACAGACATACACACACACACACACACACACACACACACACACATACGCACGCACGCGTGTGCGCGATGTATTTTAGACATGCAGCCATGGCTGCTTCCTTATGCAGCTTATGCAGGTCAGTACATGGCTGTAACTCAGAAGCAATAGCCTTGTCCCTCTAAGAGGATACATGTCCTGGCCTAGAGACACCCTGTGGTGCTGTTGTCCTACCCCAATCTTTATATGAGAGAGTCATTTCTACAAGCCTAGACTGGATGCAAAGTCAGGAACTTCCCTTCATGAGTTGCTCTCAGCTATATGGACTTGGTAGCCAATGTTATGTGCAATATCCCTTGATGGGGATGAGTCAAGATCAGACAACTTACACAACCACCTACTGTAAGAGTGAGGTGTGAGGAGAGTCCTTGCCTCCACTGACAATATGGAAAGGAAAGGAGGAGTCCAAAGTCTAAGGTGCTATCTGTTCTGCTTCTGTCATGGAGTACCAAAGATCAAGGCAAATAATGCATTCCCAGAAACTTCATAATGAGTAAATCAACATCACTACACCCTCCTCACCATTCCAGACAGACTCAGCCCCTGGTGCCTGGCTGCTGAGGAAGCCATCCACTTGGCTGGATTTGCTGCAACAGACCTCTCGAAGGCACTGAGTGCAGTGCCAGCCCTGAACACCAGCAAACTTAAATTTGTTTCATCCCATAGGATGCTGATTTGGGGAAATGCTGCCTATTATCTTCCCTGCTGAGAGTGTATTTAACACAAAAGCAGGAGTGATTCTGCAGCCCAAACAAACTCAACCTCAGCTACACAACTCATCTGGTTTTTTTTAGCTCAGCACTTTCTAGTGTACTGGTGCCCTAGGGCTGTTGTATTAAAGTACAACAAACTAGGAAGCTTCAGAAGCAGGAATTCATTTTCTCCCAGCTCTGAAAATCAGAAGACCAAAATCAAAGGAGGGGTTGGCTGGACCACTCATGGTCCCTCTCTGAAGGCTCTGGGGAACAATACACCCATATCTTTTCCTAGCTCGTGGTTGTCAACAATGCTCTGCCTCTACCTTCATGTGGCATCCTCCTTATGTGTCCATGTATGAGGTTCCCACTGCCACTCATGGAACTAAAGCCAACACTGAACCAATATGACTTTACCTTCACTTGGTGTGTCTAATAGACAGTCTGTAGAGACCATGTTAAACATGGTCATGTTCACAAATTCCAGCTTAGGACTCCAATATACCATTTGTGTCAGTCTGTCTGTTTTTTTTTCTTTTTGAGAATGAGTCTCAAAATATGGCTCCACATCTATCCCAAGACACCAAGCTTATTTGAGCCCAAGGCCCTCTCATTAATTCCTCACCCAGGAACATCTAGCAGATGTACATAGAATGCATCTTTCCTTTTTATTAGAACCTATTTGAATGTAATATCACCAGAGATGACAATGCGCATTGAAGAATTATAATGGTATTTTAAAAACTGGTAGTAACAATTCAGAATATCTCTTTTAAATTGTCTTTTTAAAAACCAAAGGCCTTGGCCTTGGGTCCTCACTAATATATCATGAATATGATACCAGGGTGCAAATGGGTAGCTTGTACTTAATTCAAGAAATAATTATTCACTAGGTCCTATGAAGGTTGATGGGAGATAAGAGTCATCACCAGTCTTACCCAGCTGTGAACTGGGCAATGAACAATAACCACCATGCCTGGCAAGGTATGTCCATGGGTTCTATAGTGGCATGAACATTATGGGGCTTACCAACCACTTTCTGATTTAAGGCCTGCCCCACAGGAGATGTATGACTGATATTGTATATCTGGCCAAGACCCCATGGCTGGGGAACTCACAAGCCCTAGGGATTAACTTACTACTGCTATTTTGTTAAATGGATATAATATATCAAACTGTCTTTTGCTTTCCAATGAGCAGGATCAAGATGCTATTGTTTCTCTACACCCATAGATTGATGGAACTCCCTCCCCTCACCAGAGAAGGTTCTTTGCACAGTGGACAGTGGTTAACATAGAAATTCACAACTGGTCAAAGTGCAGAGAGTAATGACTATGGGGTGCTCAGTCATAATTAGGATATCTATATCATATCTATTGTGCCAAAGACTTAGGAAACATCAAGGAAGAGGGGCAGAAAGATTCCAAGAGCCAGAGATCAGAAAGGACTGGGCTGAAGCAGTGTATGCTGGACATTCTAGGGCCAGTGCACTTCACCTCAGTTCCAGTTGCTTGCATGAGATCAAGCCAGTCAACCTCCTAGCATGGATGGAGAGGGACTCACTGCCTTCCACCCATAGCTTAGGAACTATTGACAACTGTTGACTGCTGAGACAGAGAGAGTAACTTTTTCTTTAAGGGCATGCTATCTAATAGGTTGTCTATGCCTAAGTAGATGCCCTTACATTTATGTGCATATAGGCATCACAAAGTGGAACCAACAGTTTATAAAAAAAAAAGGACATGAAGTTGGGGAGGATAGAAAAAGGAGTGGGTCTTGGCGGAATTAAAGCAATGGAGTGAATATGATCAAAATACATTGTATACATGAATGAAATTCTTATATATAAAAATATTCTTAATTAAAATGAAACACAAATTAAACGAATTACTGGCCCTGGCCTAGGATTATGAGGCACATGGAGAGGAATAGAAGAGATATCTGCTTTTAGGTGAGGAATAGAATAGATTAACAGCAGAGCCAAATGCTTCAGGAAAGAGTTGGATGGTGTGAAGTAAATTAGGATGGGGCACAAAGCATACAGGCTACAGGAGCACTGACTAAAGTCCTCACCCCTTGCTGTGATTCAGCCTGGACTCATGCCCTTCCTGGTTAGTGTCAGCCTCTCTCACATCTCACCACACTTATTCACGCACTTCCAAAAGTCATGGTGGGGATTTGCACTGAGTCATGTGCTCATGATGTTAAATGTCAGGCACAGCCGGTGCCCTGAGTTAGGTGTAGAAATGAGAGAAAACACACATCCATGGAAAATTCTCTTAGACTCTGTGGTCAGGAGGCTTTCCTTTTAGACTCAAATATCACTCAGAGTGATCTCTTGTCATCACTCTGGACCCTCCTGGGCTTAGTGAATTGAGCATGACTGACATCTCCTGTTCCAAGTCAAGACAGAGCAAGGACTCAATCCAACATGTATCCTCCTAGACAATAATGATCTATTTTTGTTAATAGGAATAATTCAATGAAGTTTCATAGCACTGCTATTATTTTTTAATACTAATACACTGTTCTAAAGATTAACAACCCCCAAAACCCAAGGCAGTGAGTTCTTAGGTCCCCAAACACTTTGAAACACCCTTTGAAGCCCCAACCTCCCTTTCTCAGTGTCATGTGACAAGCATTGACATGAAGCTATTTCAGGAACTCTTAAACACGCAACACTTTGACAGAAGAAAACAAGAAAGACATCATTCACAATAAGAAGAGGATAGAAGTTGGCATGTACTATGTGGCTTTGGATAAGTTAACTTTGTGAGCACCCCTGGCTGAGACAAAAGTTAACTTGCACTGGGAACATAATTTTCAAAATAAACACTGCCCCCACCATCCAATTTAATTTAGTATTAATGTCCAAAAGAATGTGATTTGCCCCATTGAAATGGTCCAAAGGCTACTGCACACTGAGTCAATGGAAGCCATAGTTCCTGCTAGAATCAGATTACCCAGATCTTTTGAATTTATACTCTCAGAAGCATGGATGGCAGCCACTTGGGTGATGCGTATGGACAGTACTGCCAGGATGTTATCAAGCTCTTAAATGCTGGTACCACAGTTATCCAAGCTTCTCATTTCAATGCATAACATAGGTGCAAACTAACCAGGAAGAAAAGATATGTTCAACTTAGGAGCCAAGAGTATTTTTCTACCCCATCATTATTCTTTTTGGAGATGGTACCACAGAGGAGGATGAGGTTAAAGCTAAAACCAAAGCCTTTATACTAGACCAAGAATAAACTGACTTTATTCGCTTACATATCCCTACAATAAAGAGATGATTCCACAAATCACACAAAAGACATTCTCTCGTTAGAAACTAGCTGTTACTGAAAGTAAATAAGAGACATTTCCATTAGAAGATTCTGAAATTGCCGTCCGTACATGCTTACCTCTGAGACCAGAAAACAAATGTGCCAGAGGAAGGCTGCCAGGGAAAATGGAACATCATGGAATTGTTTTCAAAGGGGAAATTAATTGGTTATTTCTATTCTGGCTTAGATGAAGCTGTAAAAATCTAATCAGAAACATTTTTCATGGAGGCTTTGCCTGCCCAACAGTGAAACTTCCCAAACCATAAACCACTGTGTGTGTGTGTGTGTGTGTGTGTGTGTGTGTGTGTGTGTGTGTGTGTGACTATTATTAATGTTTTTTTCTGGGTGAAACCAAATGTCTTCAAATGTCACCCCCAAAATGTGGGTCTTCATCAGAGACCATACTTGTGGTGGTGAGTGAACCAGTTCCCAGGAGCCGCCTCTGATACTTGAAGGCAGGAGCCCCTGACTTCACAGGTAAACACAGCCTTAAGTTCTTGGGTCTCTTGAACCAAGAGGTAAATAGCTAGCATGCAGGAAAGACTACACGGTGTTTCAAAGAACAGACTGCCCACTGTCTAGTTCATCTTAGTTTTAGCCAAGTGCCTTCCAAAATGTCAGTGCCAAGAATGATATAGATGTAAGTAATCTTTTCCTACCTTCTCTTCTTGTGACTTCAAAGTCTCTGGTTTCCTGAAAGAGAGAAGAGATGCAGTTTTGAAGAATAATTCATAGATACAGAAGATACAGGTACTTGCAAATGACTCCAGTCTTGTTAGTTGCATTTTCACCAAAAGGGACAGTCAGCAATGTTGGGTCTCCTAACCTCACACGGCATGTGTACACACATGTCCACACACATGCATAGGTGAATGCACACACACACACACACACACACACACACACAAGTGCGCTTGTAAAATGTAAACAACTTATTACTTTGGAAACTTAGATTTTAAAAATATATTATTGGAACTAGAGTGATTAAGACTATACACTGGTTTTATAGAAGACCCCAAGTATAGTACCCAGAACCTATGTGCGGCAGTTCACCTGTAACTCCAGCCCCAAGGAATCTGACACTCTCTTTTGGCCTCCTCCAGCAACTACACTCATATGGACACACTCCAACACCAACTAATTAAAAATAAAAATAAAACAATTAAAAATACATTGCTAATCATGGCTCTCTCCATGTGCAGTTTGGGCTAGTTCAGTTTCAAGTATGAAAAAGAACATTCTAGGATGTGGTCCTATGCTCAGCCCCATCTTCATGTGCTTATATGGCCCTCAGGAAAAAAATGCCACACAGTGCATGATTATAGCCAAGACATAGTTCCCAAAGGCTGAGATCTCATGAACAGGGATAGTGAGTCTAGGTCAGTGGGCTAAATTAAGCCCTTTGGTTTACATAATCCGGTCTCAGGGATCTTTTTGATGCCTGTGCTCTGTGCAGTGCAATAAGAAAACTCTTTCAGAAACAACCCAGGTGCCACGGGATGTCTGCATTAAAATTCAGCTGATCAGGGAGCTTCAGAAGAAATACACATTACTGAGAAATCAAAGGGCGATTTGCCTTGATAAATGCCAGCATTTCAAATTCAGTTGGAAACAAGGAAAATTATTTTTTAAGAGAATCTTTGAACATGGCACTGAATAATGGGCAAATTTTCAGGCAGGGAGCATGAAGGGAGGGTGCACCAGCATGAGAGGGTGGGAGAGCAGGAGGTCACACACGGAGTGAGCACACACAGGGCTCGGGGAGAGGAGGGAGGCCCCAGTGAGAAGAATTAAAGACAGAAGGCTCGAAACACACACCATGGTTTCAGGACAGACCTGAAGAACCTACAACTCATCATAAACGACCAGTTTAATATGAAGACTACAAGGCTGGGATAAGCTGGAACTCTGCATTGTCAGCTAAAAGAAAACAACAAATGTGGGCCTCCACCCCTCCCCACCAAGATCACTCAACAACACTGAGCTGTAAGCAGGGCGCATAGTCTCCGCCACCTTGGCATTCTTGTCTAGCATCCTCGTGTGTCAGGAGAGGGAAGCAACAATAGCGGTGAAACAGGAGACGACAGTGGAAAGTTTTCCTACCTATGATGGTCAAAGTATAATCTTGCCTGCCTAGGATGACCTGGGAAGAGAGTCACACTTAAGGAATTTGAGGGGTGAACTAGCTCATTTGACCTCTGGGCATGTGTGGAGTGATTGTCTTGATGGTTACTTGACAAGAAAAGGGGTCCAGCCCATTATGAGTGACCTCATTCTTTATGAAGGGGATTCCGAATTATACAGGAGTGAATAAAACTAGCTGAGCATAAGAGGCAAGCAAGTAAAGGTGTGTGTGTGTATGTCTTTTCTCTCTTCACTCTTGATGATGGATATGATGTGACTGACTATCTGCTTGAGGTCCTGCCTTTTATTCTTCTCACTGATGGGCTATAATCTGGAATTATAAATCAAATAAATCCCTTCCCCCCTCGTTTGCTTTAGGTAGGATGTTTTATACAGCAACAGAAATGAATCCAGACCACTAAAACGACTTCTCCCCTGAGTGAAAAGCCCCAGTGGGGACCAGTGGAAGACCCATGTCACATGTAATGGGGTAAACTAACAGAAGTACAACACTCAGCGATATTGGGTCTACTGATATGAGGAAACAAATGCGCCTCCTGAATGCTGGACCCTGCAGGGATTATCTGGGTCAGGGTTCAGAGTAGTGGCATGGAGACAGGAATGTATAAGCCCAAAGCAAAGTCATCTTCTCCCAAGCAGCTCCTCAGCAGCCTGTTCCTGGACCTGGCAACCCCACCCTCTACAAACCAACACATGAAATACTGTGAATGAAGGGGTAGTCATAGTCTGCTCTTGTGCTACCAGAAAACCTTACAAAGTTGCTATTGCTTGTGGTTTGCATAAAGCTTATGCATTAAAGAAAGCTGATGTCTATATAATGTGTCTTCTCAAATAACACGGAATTTCTAATCATTTCTTCAAGTCGATATTTGCTTCTTTCTTGAGTATTAAGGGCTAGGGAGATGGCTGAGTAAATAAAGCACTTGCCACACGAGCATGGGGACCTGACTTTGAGTCCCCTGTGAAAAGTCAGAGACTGTAGTGTGTGTACGTGTCTTTTTGAATGAAAGCATGCCAAAGCACACATGTGGAGGTCGTCACAGTTCAACTTGTGGGAGTTGGTTCTCTCCTTCCACCATGTAGATCTGGGGGATGGAACTCTGGTCGTCAGGCTTTGTGGCAATCACCTTTACCCACTGAGTCATCTCGCTGGCCTAGTAGTTGATTTTATTGATTTTAAAACCAGCCACTTGACTACATTCCTTAATGTTTGTGATACCTCTCCTCTTTGCTTCTTTTGGAATTCTCATTTGCAGCTTTTATGAGTTGCTGAGGTTTCATAACCAATGAAAGCCTCCTGTACTCTGTAAATGGCAACGATCTCATCTCTGTCCTTAATGCCCATTTCCAGTTCTGTGTTTCTTAGCTGTATATTAAATGCTGCAAGCTGGGCACAATGGCGTGTGCGAATCCCAGGACTCAGGAGACTGAAGCAGGAAGATCACCACAAGTTTGAGGCCAGTCTGCACTACCTAATGAGTTTAGGCCAGCCTGCGGCATGACATGAGACTCTGCCCCTGCCTCCCAAAATAAAAAAGGGCGCAGACAAAGTGAGCACTTTCAGCTTGTTTCTGACTCTGAATAGAAAACCTTTAGTGTCTTTCTATTCAAGAAGCAGATCTTCAGCAGAGGTGTGTGAACTGTACTAACATGATCAATACATTGAGTTTCAGGTAAATAATGCTCTGGGTGAAACTGCCTGCCCCTTACACGCTTATTTCCTGACGGTTTCCCTTTGCTGGTGTGAGGGCTGGGGTGGAGCCAGTGTCTGTTTCACTCTTGCAGCCTCGGTGCTGTAAAAGAACAGGTGCTTGACACATATTTGTTGAATAAAAAATAAAATAAAATACATATGTCTTGGATTTTATCAAGTGCTACTTCTGCATCTGTGGAGACAATTGCTTTTCCTTAACTTTATTAATGGGTGGCTTATGAAGTAGCTTTTATAATCCTCCATCTTTCTGGAATAAACTTTTTCTAACTCGTGATAAACTTTTAAAAACACGATCATGGGGGGGCTACAAGGAGGACTCAGCTGTTAAGAGCACTTGCTGCTTTTTCAGAGATCAGGGTTCAGTTTCTAACACCCATGTGACAGATCACAACCCTCTATAACTCCAATTCCAGGGGATCTGAGGCCCTCTTCTGGTTTCCACAGGCTCTGTACACATGAGGTACACATATACACATGTAGGCAAACACCCATGCACGTATAATTAAAATAAATAGTTTTAAAAGTGTGATCTTGAATACTGTCATCAGTGATTTTTAAATATGTTTTATATCGATCCATATATGATTTTATACCCATAAATGAGGTTTGTGTGCCTTTTAATAGATTTAGTAACTTAAATTATTCGAGCTTTATGTAATGAATGTAGAAATTTTCCTGTTACCATGGCTTGATGCAGTTTAAATAAAATCAGGAGAGACTGGCATTGCGGCCTACATCTGTAAACACTAGGGAAGCAGGACAGGAAGGTGAAACTTCCAGGACCAGCATTGACTACAAAATGAGACCTTACTTCAAATTTGAATAAAAGTGAGGTAGAAGTGGTATTACCTGATCATTTAAGGTTTCCGACTTTTATTTTTTCTGTTATTGATTAAACTGAGAGGAGAGATTAAACTTGTTTAACACCTGTCATTTTGGCCAGTGACCATTTGATATTAAAATCCCTAACCCTGACTCCAAAGCCGATAATGGAACCAGGCTGACGGATTGGAAGCTAGCAGCTCATCCTGGCTCCCAGCAGCTTGTAAACAGCATCTCGGCGAGGTGGATGATTGTAAACAGCATCCCGGCGAGGTGGGTGATGGGAAAGACACTCTCAAGTTTAATACTGGACAGATAAGGCTGGGCGGAACCTAGGTGGTCTCCTTACTGGAACAGGTGAGAACAAGCACATTTAGTGCTGAGACGGTGGTGGCTGGGGGGAGGGGGAAGCAGTAAGGGAGGAAGAACGAGAAAGAGACACACCATGGGTAGGGGGATACGGTGCAGAAGTAGTCTGTGGCCTCAGCTGATGTGCAAGCTACATGGTGTTCTGGAGTTCTCAGGGCTAAAATGTTGTGGCAAGAGTTCATCGTGAGGAGACTGTGCCTGCACACGCTGCTTTGGGAAGCAGTAATATCCTCATTCTCCTTTCTCTGAAATACACAACAAATAGTGTCACGCTATCTTGGCCAGTGTCCCCATTATGACTCAGTGTGATCCTGGTAAAATACCACTGAAATTAGTCCAGCTAAGCCAGCTAAGAGTCATGGCAGATTGCTCTACACACATCCCACTCCTGCTCGCACTTCAGCAAACTCTTTAACTCAAAGAATATAGGAGATAAAACCTCTAAGTCAATGACCAGATAGGCATGGCTAAGAGACCTGAAGGCCCACTTCTGGACATCCGCCTGTGCTACAGCAGAGATACAGAACACCTCACCTATAAAGCCCTGTAGGAAAGTGGCTTCCAAGACACTAAAGATCATACAGGACTGGCTCTACCCACAGACACTGTTGTTCATGACACATACCCCTGATTTAGTAGAGGG